TTGCGCATGTGCCGGTGAGTCTCGTGAAAACCAACGTTTGTGAACAGGAGCAAAGGAAGCAAAGTTTCCTTACTTTAGCAAAGGAAAACCAGTCTCCTCTTGGCTTATATCGAAATCCTCCGACATTCTTCTTTACAAATCCTCGTTTTGTACTTCTAATAAGTGACCGGTGTTTTGTTTTGATCTCTCCCCTGCGCTTCCGCGTGCGTCACTTCTGAGCCGCGCATGTGCAACGCTGACCTCATACGTCATCTGCCCAGAGCTGCTTCCAGTGTACAACAGTGAGCGCAAGCTAGATTAAAGTGATTATTACGTTTTGAGTATGGATATTTTTCTTACAAAAACGCATCGATTCGCTACAGGAGGCCTTTGTTCACCCCCCGGAGCCGTGTGAGACACTTTTTTTTATGGATGGGCGCTTATTATTTAACTTCTTTTGGACTGATGCATGCAACACCCGCTGAGTGGCATTAAACAGCTTGAAAGATCAAAGACTATTTTTAATATAACTCTGACTGGATTCGTCTGAAAGAAGAAAGTCATATACACCTAGGATGACTTGAGGGAGAGTAATTTGTGGGCTAATTTTCATTTTTGGGTGAACTAACCCTTTAATGACTTCCTTTTTCTTGTCAGATCTTTACTGTTGCAAAGCTCCCTGAGGACAACGCAGCTCTACACATGCACAAACACACACTCTTAATCTATATCTCAGGTATTTCTGTATAAAATCAGACTGAATTGATAAGAGATAGGAACTTAAAAGACTAGACAGAGACAGAAAGACAAAACAAAGGTTACGTGGAAGTGAAGATGGTCATTTGAAAATTCGGGGGGAAAAAAACAGCTGGCAAGCAGAAATGTACCTGCACTGGGCAAATCAAAACTGTCAGATAAATAAAGGCAAACAGAGACACTGATAACAGAGAGAGAAGTGCTTGTGTGCTCAGTGTGTTTGCGCATGTTTTACTTAGCTATGGTTTGAGTACAGCACTGTCTGTCTGAATCTAAAATCAGAATCAAAATCTCTCTTTGGGAACATCCTTGAAGTCAAAATAATTTGGAAATTGAGCACATTTTTGATGTAAAAGATTAGGGGTAGGGTTGGTCTGTAATCATAACTGAGTAAATAATAATAAAAATGTAACATATTTATTTATTATTCTAATTTAAAATATGGGTTAAGTTAGTTTGTGATAATGATAATGATAAATGCGGAATTGATTTTTTTGTTGTTGTTATTATAATGCAATTTAGTTTTCATTTTATGGGTGGGATTAATTTGTAATCATAATTATAATTAATTATGAATTTTAGCATTTTTAGATATGAATCTAATGCAAAAAAAGGGTGAGATTAGTTTTTAATAATCATAAAAAGCTTTAGAACAATAGAAGCCAATAGGATGTTCTAATTTAGATGCTTCTTACTAGCTATATTTTTAGGGACAAATTGTTAAAAAGTTATAAAAATAAAAAATCTTTATTCACTTACTCAATGTAAATATTTATGGTATGAGTTCAGGCATAGGCTATTTATAAGAGTCATATTTATATGTTTACACTAGGTGCCATATAACGTCATCACGTTCTTTTATTTTTTCATTAAAAAATAATAAATAAATAAACAAACAAACTTCAGCTTTTGTGCAGTTCACTAAACAGTCCTAGTGTGACAAGTTAGTGATTTTTAAAAGTGTAAATATTCCATGTAGTCGAAAAATTATGAATAAATAAATATTAATAAATACTTTTTATTTATTTAGAGTGCGTTTCATTTGGCATGTCGAATTCAAACTTCTGCTGCAGTGATAGAATGTAGCGGCGGCACACATCAATATAACAATATTGATCAATGTATCATGTGTTTGATTGACAGCTGCTCTCACCGGTCTCGGTCGCGTCCTGATGAGATTGAACACAGTCACAAACATTCCAGAGAACAAGCAAACTCAGGAAAAGACCTCCAACTAAAGCCTTCAGCTCCATTCTCACCAGCCAGACCAATTTAGTGCTGCCTCGAATCTTCAGAAGGAAAAATAACGTTTTCATTATTCAGAGAAAACTTGAAGAAAATGATTACAAATACATTAAAAGGGAAAAAAAATCAATACATGAAGCGAGATCTCGGACGAAGAGCGGGATGAGTCCTCTGGTCTGTTCTCGTATGACAGCGACCCTCAGACATGAAACATCTGGACTTGTTTTCGTTTGTTTGGCTGGAGGGCTTGAGGTTTTCCTGTCGCCTCCAAACAAAACAAGGCAAAGTTTCGTTTTTTCCGTCTTCCGCGAGTGAAATGAACGCTGTAAATGTGACAGTCGGAGGAGACTGCAGCTCTCTCCTGTTATCGGTGTTTTTCTGATCCTCCTCTTCTTCTGCAGCCAATAGAAAAAAATAGACTTTCGACTTTCAGTTGAACATTTCCGGTTTTCCGGGCTGCTAGAACGCCTTAAGTCCTCAACTTTTAGTGAAGAACAAAACAGTTTAATTAACACAAAATGTCTAATAATAGGTCATACAAACATTATGGAATGCTCAACAGATCATGTGCATTCAAAAACGATTAAATACGAATTATGATATGATATCATACAGGTAACAAAAATGAAAATATATGTGAAGTAATATACATTTTAACTTCTAAATTAATAATAATCTATACCCTTACATTATTTTCTAGTAGTTTCAGTACCATGGTATTTATCAAAGTACCATAGTATGTACAAAAAAATGGTATTCAAAGGCAAAGGAGCCAAAAACAAACATACAAAAATAACCCTGAATTTATATAAGTGAACAATCTTTCTATGCCGTGAAATTGAGGTGTGAACTAGGCCTATCTCTTTTGAAATTGAGTTGATCGGTCAGATAAAGGAATAGTTTCTTCAGGGCTCATATTTGCCGTAAGCAATTGAAGTTCAGCTCAATTATGGATTTGTTTCTTACAAACACATAGATTTTCACCTCCCAAGATGTTAACTGATGGACTGTGGATTACTTGTGGATTATTGAGATGTTTTTATCAGCTGTTTGGACTCTCATTCTGACGGCACCCATTCACTGCAGAGGGTCCATTACTGAGCAAGTGATGTAATGCTCAATTTCTCCAAATCTGTTCAGATGAAGAACCAAACTCGTGTACATTTTTTTTAAATAACTAGATTACCAAGTCATTTTTTTAACTTTCCCACCCTCGATTTAGAGGGGAAAAAATCATTTATATTGGTGTTTGTGTCTGTAAGTATTAGTTTCATAAAGTATGTCATTGGTGTAAAAGAGCACACAGATGACCTTTGTTTCTGATGTCTTATTGGTTAAAACGAGGACACTGTTTCAGCCTCCTAATCTCTACCTGCCTTAATTTACAGTGTCTTCCAAGTCAACTCTATTATGTATGTGTGTGTGTGTGTGTGTGTGTGTGTGTGCTTCTCTGTCAGGGTTTATTAAAGCATATAAGGTATACAGTAGGATGAGACAAAAATAGGCCAGATTAACACAAGACACAGGCTGTTACACTTTACCATCAGGATCCTGAAAACATTTGTGTGACATTTAACCAAATTTTCAGTAATTTTCTACCAGGATGTTATCTATTCTTCTGTTTATCTAGGTTTTTTTCGTACAGTTCAGAAACATTAAGAAATGTAACATTAATGACATGTTTTCCCCATTTAATGTAAAATAATATATGATCTATCTAATAATATCTATCTATCTATCTATATTCAAAGTCTGAAACCACTACTGAAAATTTGTTTTAAAATTTATTTTACATTTTGTCATGAAAAATTATATTAGAAACATAAATGAAACATGAAAGTTGAAACAAAAATTATGATGAATTTGACTTGGGTTCACTTTAGATTGGAGATCTAGAAATTGTGCAGTTTTAAATATTTATAATAGTTATTTCAATCAATTCTATTCAAACATTTCTGTTCATTTCCAGATTTTGAATCCCAGATTTTCAGTGTGGTCCCAGGCATTTGTACGTCACTGTATTTGCTTGATTATGCAGTACAGTATATGCATATTGGTTATGACACAGTTTTCCTTAAAGGTTAGTATACTGGCCATCTTAGAATACTGTTATCTGATTGGCCAGAAGTGAAGCGATGCTATTGGTTAGACCTGGGATGATGGTTAGACCCAGCAGAGGCATTTGTTTTGACCTCTTAACTTGGCTCTGATCCAGTGAGTTTGAACACTAAACCTCGGACTAATCCACCGCTCGCAGCTCATCCAAACACTGACATGCGGTGGACTCTCATACACAAGTCACAGACATACTCTGTACTCGAACTCTCTTTTACACAGTCACATACAAAATAAAGAGTTCTGTGGATGGTAATAATGTAATTTGGAGAGAAAATCTGGACATCTGGACCTGAAGAACAGTTAGATGGGACAGGTAGGATGACATGCTTTCTTGTCTTTGTCTCAAATGCAATAGTGCACAATCAAAATAATAAGAGAACAAAGCATGACCAGGTTTTGTGAGCTCAAATGGTCCTGAAGTCTATTTTTGGCTTGTCTTAACTTCTGTATAAGAGAGAGTGAGATGCTCCGAATGACTTGTGTAATTGTATAACTGGTGGCAAACATAGCTTTAAAAGATCTGTGTGCATGTTCACACATCGAGCACGAGTGTTTGTCTTCACATTGACACAATGGTGGAAACATAAAAGTTTTATATAATTATGTGATTATTTTTCAGATTTTTTCAGTCTTTAATTCACTTTTAACCCTCTTCTGTTGCTTAAAACAAGTCATGTGGGATCCAAAATATTCCAGTTATAAGCCAAATGTTGAAATATAAGGATGCAAAGTCAATTTGTATTGATTTAGTTTGATAGAGCTAAATGAATACTCCTGATAATGTGAAATATTAGCAAATGTTTCATATTTTATAAATACAATTCTAACAATAATTCCAGATTTCAATTAAAGGATGTCATTTGAATGAATATGCATACAAAATTTAAAGAAAAATGCTGCATGTTGTGCACAGTACTATCTTTGTATAACTGAGATACTATTATGGTTTTTATTAATATTTTGAGTCATATTTTTTAATTTGCTATTTTTTTAAGTTTTAGTAATTTTGCTGAGTATTTTTGTTATTTTTAGTAGTTTTTATTTTATGTCTACATATTTTTTATTCATTTTTATTTCAGTTTAATTATCTTAGTACATCACGTTTAACTAAATTCAAATAAGGAATGTTGCCTTAGCAACTAGCTGACATTTTTTGGAGATTTTTAATGGTTTTTTTTTTCTATATTTTATTTCAGTTAACATTTATTTAAAACTAAATAAGCACAGTTTTAGTTAGCTAAAATAGCACAGTGTAAGTAAGAGTGTGTGTTTGGGTGTTTGCACTTAAGAAGGCTTATCTGTCTGCTGAGAACTTCCTTACAAGATTTATGGGTCTTAAATGAGCAGGGCTGTTTGCTAAAAAAAAACATTTAAAGGTCATGTTACTCCGGATCTTCTAAACATAAAAGCAATAATATATTTCCAGGCTGCATTTAGGTCCATTTAAGCCAGTTCCTTCTCTTGAGCTAAATTAGCCAATTCATAATAACAGAGTACAGTAATGCAATATGTCATTTTTAACATACCTGTTTTTTATCCTGTCAGTGAGAGATGGTTTTGAGGTTGATCTTCAGTGAACAGCCACTGTGGAAGATTCTAATATTCTGCCAGCTATATTCTGCGGTCAGCCGGCATTCTGTAATTGGTATAAACACAAACACAGAGACAGACCTCACTCAAAAAACAAAACACACACACACACACACACACACACACTTGACATGCATGCATCCATACAACTTCAATTGACCTCACACAGCTAAATATTGAGTACAACAGGCGAATACAGTTCTGAAAGAATTTTCTTCTGTTTGAGCAGGGAATTACGGAATTACGAAATTCCAATCCGTGTGCCACAGAAAATTAAGAACAAATCAGTATCCAGGCAACAATCCAGTCAAACTAATCTGTCCGACCTTTGCTGAACAACAAGCTCCTTGTAATGCATCAGACATGATCTAATAATTGACTAATTAAAACATCATCAGATAAATTTGCAATTTACCATCAACCAGACATGGAAAGCAACCAACATTTTACATTACAGCAGACTGTAAGCAGAAATATAAGAAAAATGTTACTGAAATAAATAATGTGTCTATTTTCGACAGCAAGCAATTGTGACGATGGGCATGACGTGTTTGCCAAAGTAAAAGAGAACAGCCTGATGGGAACTTTTATTGCCAACCTCAGTTTCACTGCACAGCCATCATCCAATCATATGCACTTAAAACTTTCTGGAAAAGATGCTGATTGGTTTTATCTGGAGGGAAGAACCATTAGACTGAACTCAACATCAACTAGGATTATTGATAGAGAGGTAACATAAAACAAAATCGGTAACACTTTATTTTAAGGTGTCCTTGTTACAAGTACATGTACTTACTGTTGTATAATAACAATAAATTATGCATAATTACATTCAATAAATAACCCTAAACCAAACCCTTATCCTAACCCTACCCATATAGTAAGTGCATGTAGTTAATTAATATTACTCAGTACTTAAATGTATAATTACACTGTAACAAGGACACCTTAAAATAAAGTGTAACCGAAAAATCTTTAAATGCATGCTATTACACTGTCATGATTTTGTTTAAACTGTTAATATGATTTGTCTATAATGATATTACAGATACACGGCTCAGTTTTAACAGCAACTGTAAGGTGTTACGAACATAAAGCCCTACAGGTAAGTTGAATAATCTGTGACGCACAGCAGTATCCGTTTAGAAAACTGGATTTATCAATCCAATTTTCACTTGTCAAATAAAAATAATGTTGCTGTCAGGCTGAACACAGGATCTTGGTAGAGGTTCTGAATGAGAATGACAACAAACCCGAGTTCCTGCAAAGATCAGTTCAACTTCTGCAGCTCAGCGAGGTAAAACAAAACACAACATACATTCTCTTTGTTTGTAGTGTATTGACATTCACTATTGTTCAAAGGTTTGGGGTCAATATGAATTCTTTCTTTCTATTAATATTTTTATTAATCATCAATTATATTGCTCAAAAGTGGCAGTAAAGACATATAAAGATGATTCCTATTTCAAATAAATGCTATTCTTTTGAATATGAAGCAGCACAACTGTTTTCAATATTTAAAATAATAAGAAGAAATGTTTCTTGAGCAGCAAATCATCATATTAGAATGATTTCTGAAAGATCATGTGACACTGAAGACAGGAGTAATGATGCTGAAAATTCAGCTTTGTATCACAGGAATAAATTACATTTTAAAATAGAAAACCGTTATTTGAAATTGTAATAATATTTCACAATATTACTCTAACATTACTGTTTTACTGTATTTTTGATCAAATAAATGCAGCCCTGGTGAGCATAAGAGACTTTCAACAATAAACTTTCAAGTCCCAAACTTTTGAGCAGCATATTGCGTGTATAAGCATATATTAAAAATTATTTTTTCCAACATTTTTCTCCATCCCTAAGATTTTCTCCCATCTTCTGCTGTTTGTTTGATGTGTTTGTTCAGTTGACAGCGGTGAACTCTATAGTGTTTGCAGTCCAGGCCACAGATGCTGATGGAGACACACTCACATACGTCATCGATGAAACATCAGTAGGTGAACAAAACATTTCATCAGATCCACAAAATCCACAGTAGAAACCTTCTGCTAGCCCTACTGCAGCCTCTTTTGACTTAAAGAGATAGTTCACCCAAATTCTGTCATCATTCACTCATCCTTTAATATATAAGTCTTTACTGTCACTTTTGATACATTTAATACATCCTTGCAGAAAAAAAAAAAGTTTAATTTCTTTAAAAAGATCTTACTGGCCCATGGAATGTACACATATCTGATTCCTTCTTATCGTCTGTTTATTTGTCACTCAGGACATTGTCTTGGATTTCTTTCCGGGTCCGATTCAAGCTGTGGATGGTGATGAGGGTCTCAGAACACCAGTAAAGTACACCATCCTGTCAGGTGCTTCTCCTTCCTCTGCCATTGAACCTTAGCAAACTCCTGGAACAAGTTTGACTTAAAGAGATAGTTCACCCAAATTCTGTCATCATTCACTCATCCTTTAAGTTGTTCCAAACCTGTATGAGTTTCTTTCTTCTGTTAAACACAAAAGAAGACAGTTTGAAGAATGTTGGTAACCAAACAGTTGACGGTAGCGACTGACTTCCATGGGAAAAAAACATTATGGAAGTCAATGGGTACCGTCAACTATCCCTTTAACCTTTTCTTATGGTATATCGGCTTGATAATCTGTGGATTTGTGTTTGTGTATTTCCAGCCTGATGCCAGGTATTTTCGAGTGGACTTACCCAACAGTGGCAAAGTGGTTCTCAACAAGTCATTGGACTATGAGATCAAAACTCAGCTCCGACTGACTCTTTATGCAGTGGTAACACATACAGAAAACACTTGTTTGGTGATGATAAAAAATGTGATTGTGAAACTGTTATTTACTCGGATATTGATGTGGCTGTAGGAGACGAACACAAATGAGCATTACAACACAACGACAACAATAATCATCAATGTGATAGATGGGGACGACCAGTACCCACAATTCCAGCCTTGCACTCTTCTCTCAGCCAATCACAGCAACCGCATATGCGCCAATCCTCTGTACACCGCCAACATCACAGAGAACGAGCAGGTAAACCCTGTGAATATATAAAGACATCTTAATGTTTTGGATGTCTATTATGTTCACCAAGGCTGCATTTACTTGAAATACAGTAAAATCAGTAATATTGTGAAATATTATTATAATTTAAAAGAACCATTTTATATTTGAATATATTTTAAAATGTAATTTATTTCTAATATTCTAATATATAAAAATAAATAACTTTTCTAAAAAAAAAAAAAAGAGGAAAAAAAGAAATTATTTTTTCTTTTTGAAATCATTGTGATGTTTCTGCTCAGGCAGCTCAGACGGATGACCCTCTGAAATATGCAGTAGCCACAGTTCTGGTGAGGGTCCTAGCAGAAAACAGGTTTCCGCCACAGTTTAGTCGTTCAACATACCGTGGTTTTGTCAGTGAGAGCGCAAATCCTGCCTCACTCGTCATGACATATGGCAACAAATTACTTATCCTGGAGGCCACGGATCAAGATTTCACTGACGTACGTGACGCAACAAGATCACAACATTACAAAACCACACAACAGTAACACCCCAGTGTCAACATCCAGTTTCAACATCACAAAGACACCGGTTTGACATTCATTGCATGAAATATGGAGTTATGTTTCTGTTTGTGGGTTAAAGGGCTTCAATCCCAGACTGCAGTATTCTCTAAACTCCCAACACAACAGCTCTCAGCTCTTTTACATTACACAAGAAGGACTGCTCATCGCTAAAACCAGCGTGCTACACCCCGGTCACAAATATTTCCTAGAGGTATGACATAAGACTACATAAATACACTTTATGATTTTAAAAAATACTACTTCAGTCTTTCTACTTCAAAATTTCACATTTAATTCAATATGTTAATAACCTTCTCTTTGTAATTATTTGTGTAATTTCAGAGTGAAAATTCTTTAACCACCAAATTTTTTATAGGCAGAATCTGAACAATATTCCAGTACTATTCTCAAAAATGTCTGAAATAAGACAATTGATGACTGTGTTGCAGGTTCTAGCCACTGACCTGGAATCAGGAGACACTGTTAAAGCTGCACTGCATGTGGAAGTTCTTCAGAAAGGTCAACCAGGTACTCGAAAATCTTCAAACTCTCTGGATGATATCTTAATTAGGAATATACAAATATATAAAATAAAAATCTTTTAATGTGTGCAACAAACTAGACGTGAGCACTGTTTGTGCAAAGCTTGCCACAACATAAACTACCAGTCAAAAGTTTTCTGAAGGATAATGTGTGACAAAAACTGAAGTAGTGGACACAGGAATTAATCCAGTTTTAAAATATATTCAAATAGGAGAAAGTTATTTTAAATTGTAATAATATTTCACAACATTACTGTTATTACTGTATTTTTGATTTTAAAAAATGCAGCATTGGTGAGCATAAGAGGATATTTCAGCAACATTTGTAGATTTTTTAAACTTTTGACTGGTAGTGTATAATAACAATACATGGCTAAACATATAATAAATAATAAACAAATGTATTGTATAAGTTCCACAGGGTCCTTTGGGGGCGGGGCATGTGTATAGCGGTGAGACAGTGGGCAGGGCAGAGGGCGTGGCAGGGGTGTGTCTGATCCTGCTGGCCTTTACCTTATTCACACTGGTGCGGTGCATACGGATGATCAGAGAGAAGCGGGATCATGTCATCCGGACCAGTGTGGCTGACAACAGACACCCTAATGTGGTAAGACAAGATACAATTGTGCTCATAAATTTACATGCCCCTTGCAGAATATACAAAATGTTAATAATTTTAACAAAAAAAGAGGGATCATGAAAATTGCATGTTATTGTTTATTTAATACTGTCCTGAATAAGCCATTTCACATAGCAGATGTTTATATATTCTCCACAAGACAAAACAATAACTGAATTTATAAAAATGACCCAGTTCAAAAGTTTACATACCCTTGAATCTTAATACTGCGTGACGTTTCCTGGATGATCCACTACTGTCTTTCTGTGTTGTGATAGTTGTTCATGAGTCCCTTGTTGTTCCTGAGCAGTTCAACTGCCTGCTGTTCTTTAGAAAAATCCTCCAGCTCCTGCACATTCTTTGGTTTTCCAGCATTTTCTGCATATTTGAACAACATATTTCCAACAGTAACTATGATTTTGAGATCCGTCTTTTCACATGGAGGACAATTGGGGGACTCATAACTATTTATAAGATGAAAACGTTTACTGATGCTCAAGAAGGGAACACAATGCATTAAGAGCTGGGGCTGGGGGGTGTAATCTTTTTGAATTGGATGATCAGGGTAAATTGTACTTATTTTGTCTTCTGGGAAACATTTAAGTATTTATGTAGCTTCTTAAGTGCAGTACCAAATGAAAAAAATATGATCATTAAACAAAATTTACACATCATCATCCTGTTCAAACGTTTACACCCTCTGGCTCTTAATGCATTGTGTTGCCTTCTTGAGCATCAGTAAATGTTTCCACCTTTTGTAATAGCTGTGTATGAGTCCCTCAGTTGCCATCAGTGTGAAAAGATGGATCTCAAAATCATACAGTCAATGTTGGAAAGGGTTCAAATATGCAGAAGATGCTGGAAAACCAAAGAATGTGCAGGAGCTGGAGGATTTGAACAACTATCACAACACAAAAAAACAATCATGGATCATCCAGGAAACAACACAGGTTAGTAAGATTCAAGGGTATGTAAACTTTTGAACGTGGTCATTTTTTATGAATTCAGTTTATTATTTTGTCTTGTGGAGTATATATAAACATCTGTTATGTGAAATAGTTTATTCAGGACAGTACTAAATAAAAATAACATGCAATTTTAATTATCCCTCTTATTTAGTTAAAATCATTAACATTTTGCATATTCTGCAAGGGGCGTGTAATCTTATGAGCACAACTGTATATTCATGCAACATACACAACAGACATGTTAGAGACTGCATATTATCCATATGTTCCAAACGAATTAAGAAACAAAAAAAATAAGAAACAGAACTATGTAACAACTTCAACTTTGAGCTTCTTACACAACTGTTTAAATTTTTAAAAAATGTTTTAATACGGTAAAAACTGTAATATTGTGAAATAATATTACCGTTTTAAATTACTGTTTTCTATTTGAATATATTTTAAAATGTAATTTTATTCCTGTGATGCAAAGCTGAATTTTCAGCATCATTACTCCAGTCTTCAGGGTCACATGATCCTTCAGAAATCATTCTAATATGCAGATTTGCTGCTCAAGAAACATTTCTGACTATTATTATTAACGTTGAAAATAGTTGTGCTGCTTGATAATTTTATGGAAGTTCAAAAGAGCAGCATTTATTTATAAATTTTTTCAATAATTTTTAGTTTGGAATAATTAATGATTTCTGAAGGATCATGTAATACTAGAGTAATGGTGCTGAAATTTCAGCTTTGCATCACCAAAAAGAATATTTTAACAATTTTGAACAATTTTGAACACTTAAAAAAACAAGTCTCCATATGAATCTTTTTGCATTTCTTAATATTCCATGTCTAGTGTCTGAGATGGTTCCGAATGGTGAGTTAATGTTATTGCATTCCCTTAGTGAACCTCATTGTATTTTCATTTAGGTAAAAAGTGGAAATAGAATGGTTTCTTAAAGCATAGACTGACTGTTTTGTTATTAAACCGGGAATATCGATTAAAGCAATTCTATATGAGTCACAGAGAGTGTCAGATCAGACACTACTTGATGCGGTATCCCAGTTATCCCATATTGTTAAATTCTGGCAAATATACAGTATCAGTGGTCTTGGAATTTATACACCTACCAGTGTACATGCTGCATCACACACAAGCAAAATCCAATAACTCCAGTCTTCAGTGTCACATTATACTTCAGAAATCATTCTAATAAGCTGATTTGCTGCTCAGCAAAAATTTCTTATTAATTGAAATCGCATCATATGACCCCTTTAATATTTTTTGTGGAAACTGTAGATACATTCAATGTTGAATTGTAGTGTGCATCATTTTAAATCTCCTTAAAATAAGGACAATATTACTCAGTGCACCAAATTTCCCATAGCAACCCTTGTGCATTTGTGCTTTTAAACGATAGAAATGTTTTCAGGGAAGCAACTGTAAATCCAGCTGAGTGACAGTTTTTCTCTGACAGATGAACCAGAGCCAACCGATGACTTTAGTGGAGGAAACGTTCTCATATCACAACGAGGTGTTCAGTGAGTACGACCACTCCGCCTCACCTTTCTATGGCAAACAGGGCATCTACACCAAAATAGAGGAACCACCTCCATCATCATCTGTGAACTTACCATCAATTACCTTCAACAAATCATTACGGGAACCAAGACGCAATTATCTGGCACTGCGGCCCAACGGGAGGCCCGTGAACAGGTTTAACAATAAAACGGTGTCATTTCACGACTACGTTGTGGTCCGGGAATGGGATGAGGAGAGTGAAGAAAATACAGAGACTACGTTCACAACAGAGGTGGAGATTTGTACCGATTTAGAAGAAACGGACATGGATTGCGAATTAGAAAATGATGATTCAGATCTCCCAGAAGAAGAATTTAAAATCCAATCACAAAGAATCACTTCATACTGTGACGACATATACAACGAGTCAGAAATGCTCAATACGCACCTAAAAAGAGACAACCGAGACTACGAAACACATAATACAGACCACACACAAGTAAAAATTGACTTAGAAGACAGAATCCATGCAAAACCACTGGAAATCAGGAACCAAAAAATAGCTGGAAAGCACAGATTCAAGTCTGATCTACAAAGAATACAAAGACACTCAACTGAAAGTCAAGAAAGAGATCAAACAGTAACACAAAACTCAGCATTAGAAGACACTTCACAAGCAGAGTTCTCCATTTTTCAAAGAGAGACATATATCATTAACCCTAAAGTCTTGGTTTCAGAGGCCGACAAACCTGTCGTCAATTATTCAGAAAGCTTTAAAACAGATGGGACCAGAAAATCGGATGATCTTAATTTAGATCCTCAGGTTTCAGTAGCTGAAAGTTCTGTACAAAACATTCATGATGTAAGTAACTTACAAACACATCTAAGCACATTAACACTAGATCCAGGTCAATACAATGGATCGGAAGAACGTCTGGAAGTTGAGACGGACAACACCCCAAGCTCAAACATATATTATGTTAACGAGGACATTGTAACTAATTTAGATGACAGTAGCCCAGAAGAGGAGTCTGTATCTAATCTAGATACAAGCAGTCAACATCTGAACTATCTTCATGATCTTCACGACACACAGATAGAATGTTTCTACGACACAGACACAGATGAAACTAATGACGGGAGATGATAATGGGAGACTGACGAAAACTAAGAGTGATACTGAATCAACTCGATGTTTGAATTGAGCTCGAGCACCAAATGAGCCTTTGTAAAACGGGAAAAGAACAGATTTGGCATCTGCGAGGCAATGAACTGATGGGTGAGTAATACAAGCATCAAGCTAACGTCTAACCCAAAGTTTAAAATTTTGCCCTGCACCGATGGTTTTCAGACATCCTGTGCCCTTTCTACATTATATAATGTACATCATTGCACACGGACATGCTTTCTTTGTATTGAAATTGCACTTTGCATTGCAAACTCAAATAAAATCTACCGATGACAAACAATAAGACTGTGGTGTAGATAGTTCTGCTAAAATTAAACTCAGGTGGGACGAATAATATCAAAGAAATGGAAAAACAAGTGCAATATGCCTAAAAAGTTTTTCAAATGAAGTCAAAGTGAGCAGATCACCCCCTAGTGGATGTGATTAGAATCTGCGCAAAAATGAGAAATTCACCTGGAAACCCCACAAATGGAAACCCAATTGAAAATGTGATTCATTTTCATCAATTTTATTGAGAAAACGCTCTCAGCTATAAGACAGTATTTTGCAATACCTGACCACAGCATACTAAACAGAGTTCACATTCAATTATAAACATATATACATACACAAATTATATACTAATGTTAGGAGAGGAGGTCATTTTCAGCCATGTACAAATTGCACAAATAAGAAAGGTAAGATAACCAAATATAAAGTCTCGCATAATAACGTGAAAGCAGTTGGAAGGTTGAGGGAGAAGGAAAAAGGCACTTGAGGAAAGAACAGCTTTAGTTTGTTGGTTCAGTCTATTAATAAGAGTACGAACAGCTGTCACTGACAGGTCGCAGAGGGTGGAATGATGTTCAATAGTCCTTCAAGCAGGGGTTTTTGTTCATAAATGAGCACCCAATCAGTTGATTAATCAATTTTATACACAGCTTTTATCTGTCCATCGATTGAAAAAAACAAGCCTTGACATTCTGATCCGTGTTCCTGCAGGAACCAATCCAGAACTTCTGGTTAGATGTATTTTGAGCCAAAGAAAGACCATGAAATTATGCAACATCCTTACTACAATCTACTACTTAGCGTCATGTCCAATATCATACATCCTCAGGCTAAATGGAGAGAAACACATACATGTAGTGGTTGTAAGACATTTTATATTAATTAGAAAAGTTGAAAAGTTTGAAATTAGAAAAGTAGTTTACATGATGGTATTCTTTTTTCATATACCTAAAAAAAAAATTTTTTAAAAAGTGTTCATATAATGTGCTGTGTAAAAACACAAGTGGGCGGTTATTGCTCTATGCTGTGTCGGGTTACATGCATGCCATTATGCTGCAATATATGGCCGCATTTTAGTGCATTATAGACCATCAGACAAACCTCTACACAACACCTTGACAAGCTTCACAAGCTGACCTGAATACTATTTCATCAGTGCATTTGAAATCACATCAGAATCCAACGGTGATGAGTTAATCTACGAAAGATGTGTTCACGGAAAAAGCCAAAATAAAAAAATGCATTTGATCGAGATGCTGTGGAAGAACAGAAATGTTTTGTAAACACAGTAATGATTCACAATGTGGTATGCTTGAAATCATAAAATAAATTATTGTTCGTTTTGCATTTTTTAAGTGCAAAGTTTCCAAAATTAAAACTCATCGTGTCGGACCAGTGCTTCTCCAAAATCGGTTGCTTGGCTCCCGACAAATAAGTCATACTTATCCACAATTTCCTGCTTTGTGAGGCGTCCGTCCTGTCGTGAAAGTAAAATAAGTTATTGAAGCAGCTGCTAAGATAAAAAACAATTCTTACAAACAGACCAATCATATCATCATTTATTATTGTCAGCAGTTAGTGCTTCATATAATTATTTTTTTTGCTTTCATCACCCCATCAATAAGCATAACGAATCTGACGCACAACCAATAGAATTATGGCAGGTCATTTTCAGTCATGTATGAATTGCAGATGGAAAGAAAGGTAGGAAAACCAAAATTAATGACATAGAATTATGGCAACCTGCTCATTTAAGAAATAAAATTTATTAATCCAAAAAGTGATCCAATTTTTGTAGCTCAAACAAATTTTTAATGGGTCATTGGTTTGATTCCCATGGAATGCATTAACTGATCAAAATGTATACCATAAATGCAATGTAAGCCACTTTAGATAAAAGCATCTGCAAAATGCAAAAATTTAAAAAACTTTGCATTACATGGGTTTTCGATTACATGAGGGTGAGTAAAAATATGCTAGAATGCTCAGTTTTGGCGGAACTATTAATTTAATTCCAGTTTTTACGCAAAGATCTTAAATTTTGTGACAGAAATTTACTTACTTTATAAACACTTCATTTTTAGGGATTGGGGGGGTATAGAAAACTTTCACATAAAATTGTTGAATATGTAACGGATGCAATGACTTTTATGCAAAATGTCCCTTTACTGAGAATTACCATGCTTTTACCTCATCTGCGTCAGATTCATACAGCAGGTGTTTGGCCTCAGCCTCCGCATGGTCATAGTCAGAGGGCAAGATCCAGTCACGGGTCTCGTCCTTATCCATACGGCCGTCTTTGTTTTTATCCCTGAACTCTGTAAACTGTTCTCTTTCTGTTTTCACCCATTCTGGTTCATTCGCATCTCCATTCTGACTGTACATATCACCTGAAAAACACCCAGACAAGGGAAAAAGTGAGACAAGATCAATACACTAAACACAAACAACTGATTTATGTCCATTCCAGTCTCTCTTAAATATACACAAACACACTTAAAAAGGAAAACACTTCACTTACCAATATATTCATCAAGGTCGATGAAACCATCTCCATTTTTATCAATGTCCTCCATGGTCTCCTGCAAACCAAACCACACACATACATGATGGATGGATGGATGGATGGTCAGCATAATGAGGGTGAGTAAACAATGACAAAACATAACAGAAAAGGTATATGGAAGACATTTTTAGCATTCTGACTGTCCAGACATACCAGCACTATAATATCCTTCATGTGGTCAAACTCCTCAGGATGAAGAAACGCTGTAAACTCTTCCTTATTGGCCCTCATGTCACCATCATGGTCAGCCATCTTGAAACGGCGCTCATCTCTAGCCATCATATGCCTGTAGTTAAAACCGTCCTCGGGATCTGCTTCATCTAAACAGACATGCACACATCACATCAGTCTAGATTTCTAGCTATTCGAAATAAATGTGATATATTTTTCTTTTTTCCTGACTTAAATCTGTTGTTTTGAGGACAGATATTGACTGCAGAGTCTTTACACACTGATTTGATTTCAATACTTTTAAAATGAGAGTTTAGCTGGTCAGTCCAAAAGATCGAACTGGAAACCAAATTAGATTTACGTGCATTTTGATTAGCTTTAACCTCTGAAACATGATTAATCAATAAACGCATTATACACACCAAGGATGTAGCCGTAGGTAGCGTTCTTGTATTCCTCCCAGGAGACATAAGTGTCCGAGTTGAGATCGTGAGCCTGCCACTGCCGGTCCACATCGTCATAGATCCATCGCTTCTGAGCGTGTTTGATCCACTGTTTCATCTCATCAGCGGTCACAAAGCCGTCGTGATCCTCGTCAATCTTTTCTACAATCTTACTGTAGATAGAAAGAGAGAGTGAATGATCTGGAGAATTTTCTCAAGTGAAGAGCTCGTTGAAATGTGGTGCATGTGTTTTTACCCCAGTCTCTCTTTGCTCTCCTCAGGGGTGAGCTGGTCAAAAGTCTTTGCCTCCTCTTGCCCGAGAAAAGCCTCGTGGTCGTAGTCGAAGTTCTCGTCATCATCGTGCTCCTTGTTGCTGAGGGGGGCGTCGTGATGGATGCGGTCCTTCTTTTCCATGGGTTTACCGGAGGACTGAAGAACGCAGAGGGCGACCAACAACAACAGCGGCAGGAGGTCCATCTTCTCGTACACTTTTCTTAACAGGGTCAAATACGAAGAGTTCATTTGCAAAAACAGATAACTGTTTATAAAAATGTTCAAAAAACATGTTTTCTTATCCTGCATTCCAATTAACATCAATCAAACTGCAGTTGGGTTGTTTTGATTAACCTGATACTATATACTAGATACTAGTGTAATAAAGTGTTACCAGATAACTTATGTTATATATATTTTTTTATTATTTCATTGTAAAATTGAATGAATGTCCCCAATATTTGGACATGCAAACATCATTTAAATTCCTCACATTAAGCTTCATGCAAATACCCGCAACTCTCAAATGACATAAATGAAACAGCGAGGCACAACACTGTAGCGTTATATCAGAGCACATATGTATTAACCGTTTTATGTTTTGATGCAAAATTGCAACTTTACCTGGTGAATTCTGTAGAGTTTCACACCGCCCAGCTGATCTCAGTAACTCCGGATGTCGAACTAGTATGGGAGACGCTTCCTTTGGATGGCCCTCTCAACTGACCAATCAGATTGGGCATAACGGTCAAACCTCGTTTAACGGTCCAATCAGATTGAGGATTGCACTCAGGACCGCCTGTGCAGACGTGGACTGATTCGCTTGGCGATTGGTCCACTTCAATCCAAACGTGATTATGTCATTGGTTTAGAACTGCCACGTCCTCAAGGCTCATCTTTCTGCAGCCTTTTTTGTGTAATTATTTACACAAATGTAGATTTGTTAAAGTTGCTCCAAGTTCTGTGGCATTTATTTTAATTCTTAAAGAAACGTAAAAAGAGGAGTGCCTTAAAACTCTAAATTGCTTGCGATAGATAGATAGATAGATAATGACTGTTTTTTGTAAATATAAACAAATAATATAAATATAAGCCTTACAAATTTCACGTTTTTTTATTTTGTCTTGCTTTAACATATTTTACTCCTGATAAAAATGTGAAGAAAATAAAAAGGGCCCTAAAAGTATTTTACAAATGTAACAGCATTAAATAAAAAAATAATAGGGAAATTTGAAATTTAGAAATTGGCCCTCATGCATCACATCACAAGACAAATCATTGGCAGTAAATTATTACTAGTAGTTTCAAGCACCGTTTTAATCTTTTGCATGCCACATTACACCAAAATGGCCAATTCTTGTTATAAAAATTTCATCAGGATACTGAATTGTCCTTATATTCTTTAAAAATTATACAGAATTATATTCTGTAAAACATTTTTTATACAGCCGTTAAACTATGGTTACACTCGAGGTCAGCAATAGTAAGATTAGTGCTTGAGAGATATGGATTTTTCAACTATTGGTCCTCAAATTATTATTATTTAATCCATGTGGTTACATCTGGTTCTTGATTATTTGCTGTAATAGATTTTAAGTCATAATATACAAGTCATATTGTGCTAACGTCTGTCAGCCACTGAATAATTGTCCCATCAGCCTTTTCCCAAAACTCCGTTCTCCAAAAGACAGGTATGCATACACTATTTCTTTCTACCAACAAATTTCATTTTGGAAGAATTTTGCATTGTAGAGTTTTATGACAATTAAACATTTTCAGTAAATCCTCATTACTGAAATGAGAAAAAAGATATTTAAAATGTAAATATGCATCATGGCAGTAGTTATTATATCTAAAAATTGTAGCATAACAGTAATCATCATCAGTGAGAATAATGACAACAAAACTCAAAACATGAAATGCACTTAAACGTTCTCCAAAAGACAGGTATGCATACACACAATTACTGACACACAAATTGGCACCTTTTCTGATTGGCTAACACACACAATCACACGTTTCAGTGATACTGGTCAAGAAAGACAAAAAGTGGCAATTGTAAATGTATTTCATACTAAGGCATTTGATTATTACAGAAAGAAAGAACAAACAAAAACACACAGATTTGAAGATTTTATGATAAGAATATACAAAATGCAGTTTCAAATTCTGCAAACATCAGCAGAAACGGAGGACACACTGACACAGTGATTACTCAGTGGCATTGGGCAACATCTTTCCCACAGCTGCCTCTCGTGTTTGTTTCCTTCCATTTTCCCTTTCATTTTCCCCCACGCCTCTGCCAAAGTCCAGCATGTTTCGTTTGCGTCACGAGAGTTTTGTAATGAGTGTCAGGCGGCTTGTAGCTGTGACTCCTGCGCTACTGGTGGGGCAGCAAGGGCCGCAACCTCTTTTCTGGGGGTCAGTGATGTGAAAAGTGTGTCTAGGATTCCTAAGACCTGCAGAAGCTCCTGCTGAAGTTCTGCTTCCCGACCCAACACCTCCATAAGACGCTGCAGCAGCCGCTCAACTACAGGTGACTCGTGAAAAACCTGCTGATACAGATCTACACACACACACACACATTTCACATGTAGAAAACCTTTGAAAAGCAATACTATTTTGCAAGCAGCAGTTCACTTCTTCATTCTCATTTGCTCACGTGCGCATGATACAATATGAAACTCACCAAGCACAATATCCCCGACCATGAGCAGAGGCCGAGAGAAGCGTGGGTCAAAGATGTGCCTGAAAAACAATACACAAAAACACCCTCTAACTTAATTTCAGAATCATTTCATAGCAAGCCATTATAACAAGAAATAAATACTGTGGTGTTAAATTCCTTGAATCAAGAAAATCTGGTCAGGACTCTCGTGACTCTTGTTTACGCTTACGACTGTGGCCTCCTGTTCTGGGTCACTTTTGTGTTGTGTGACCCAAACTCTCAACCTCAACACACCCCGAGAACCTGCCCAAGAATTTCCCGGAGCTTTAATCATTCCATAAATTTCCGGTTTTGTCACAAGAATTTAATGGATACATTTCACAGAATATTAACAGTGCTGAAATCCCACAGACTTTCAATAATACGCATATACACACACACACTATATTTTGTCTTTATATTAAAATACAAAAATTATTAAATTACAATTCTACTTATAATTGTGTATGTGTGTGTGTATTCATTTGCTTAGTTATATTTATTTGCAAATTTGCAATTACAATGATAGCATAACAGTAATCATCATCAGTGAGAATAATGACAACAAAACTCAAAACATGAAATGCACTTAAATGTCATAGAAACATCAAAATGCAAAAAAAAAATAATAATAATAATAATACAAATAATAATAATAACAATGTACCCAAATAAACTTTTTTGCCTTCAAAATAGCATTGTTTTTTATATTTAAATTTTAAAGTGAAATATAACCTAGTCACCCAAAAACAGTTTGAGAAATCAAAGCAAATTGCAAATTTTGCATTCTTTGAAAATTTTGTAATCTTTCCTACGTTGATGAATTTCAAGTCCCCCAGAATCAATTTTTTTTTATTCTGAAGTGTTCATAAATTTCCCCCTCCAACTATATATATATGAGCCATCATGTTTTGTATGGGAGTCTGAAGTCATAAGACTATGTGCGTGTCGGAATAAGATATGAGAGAGTTACTCACTTGAGAAGGAAGTTGAGGATCTTGGTTAAGCTCTCTTCATTTCGTCCTGCGAGAGCATTTTTCAGAGTTCCTCTGCGGTTGAGCTCTATGATAACCGCTACGGTCACATCTGGTTTACTGGTGCGTGTCCATGTCTGTCAAACATGCATAAACATATAGTGATATCTTCATCTGAACAGTCATATCACATATCAAACTGCATTATATACACACACGGGTGTATGTTCACCTGCAGAGCTGTGTCCAATGCTTTGGACACCTCAAAGCTTTTCAGCTGTTTGTCATATTTCCGTAGATATTGCTTCACTGGTTTACTGACCAAGAAATCATCCTAAAAGAGACATCAAAAGACTGTAAGACATAACTGAAGAAAACAATGCAGTGAAAATGAAGCACGCAAGTTCATTCAAACAGTCTCATATGAAAATACATGCCTCAGTAAACATGACTTAAAAGTAAATTCTTATTTTATGTAGATATCATGATTTATATAGCTTACATATGAATATAGCTTTAGAATAGCCATATGAGAGACCAATTTTAGCTGAAATGTTAGCAAATAAGAAATTTTAAATGATTAATTCATTGATTTATTCTGAAAAAGCAAACAAAAAAATTTAATGAAATATTATAAAATAAAAATCACATGTTTGGGAACAATGTTCTTGTGAAATGTTGGCAAATTAGAAATGTAATTAATTAAAATTCACTCTGTAAAGTTGCTTTGCAACTATTTGTATGGTGAAAAGCGCTTAAAAAAAAAGTAACTGATTCATTCATTCAGAAAAAGTAGATACAAAATTTAATTAATGGCACAATATGTAATTTTTCACCGCTAGAGGGCGCGTATTCAAAATAAACAAAGAAGCAAAGGCTTAGTTTGATGAAGCTGTGACTGAGTGTGGAATCATGGGAGTTGTCGTCTTCATCCCCACAGCCGATGCAATCCAACGGGACTCGGGCAGAAATCATGTTCATGGATGAGCTAATGATTTGTTAACGTAGTAGAATGAAGCAGGGTGAGGCTGAAAGCCATCGAAGCGAAACAAGGCCGCTGAACGAGCGTGACACACGGCTCGAAAGCAGCGGAGCTTTTATTATGCCACAGTCGACCGCTTCCGCTCCTTCCGGTCGTGCGTATGTGGG